CTGAATATAAGTTCACGATACACTTGATTTCAACATTCGCGCTAAAACGAATTTATTGAAGAGAGCTCTGGTAGGTTTATAAAAATGGCATTCATACTATTAAAATGAATCTTAGAAAAGATAAAAATTAGTTAAATAATCTCTTTCCTTTAATAACACGGCTAGACATATGTGTTTTACTTGTATCTTAGAAATCGAGCCTTTCGGTTAAATGAAAAAGGCATTTTGAGAGATTTAAATGTACGGAAAGTCCAACAATGTGCGACTCTTTACTTTTTTGATACAACTTATCTCATAGACAGATATTTCTTTAAACATTTTTTCAAACACTGATTATTACTATTCACGCCGAGGCAAACCAATTGAAAATTAAGATTTCCATGAACAAATGTAAAAATTGAAGCGCCATCTATTTAAAATCATCTACTAATGTGATATAAATTAACCTAAGCTGAACGCGGTCGGTTGTTCTGTTAGAATATCAGATAGGCATGTCAGGTGTTAGACGTTCGTTTTCTAGATTGCGTCAAAACGCTAGTCCTCTACTGGATGGAAGTTGTCATCGGCTATCGCCTCGTTTCAATGCCCCAGAAACTCCACGTCGCCGTTCCATCTGTAGTCGTTTACCTGCAGTTTACAGCCTCACTTCCACCGGGAGTTATAGACTAAAGACTTTTCTTTCGTCGGGTAGGGAAAGTCGTTTGTGGCCAAGCATTAAGTTGTTTGTAACTCCTCGCAAAGAAAGTAGCCGTCCAGCATCATCACAACGTTTGATACAACTTGATATTAGTAACGACAGCCTTTCAGTTCCACCTATTTTCGACTGTAATATAGATGCCTCTCCCATTTTAAGGCCAAGTAAAAAATATTCACGGGAAGTTTTTACACCGATAAAAGTATCTAGATTAAAATGTGAAAAATATTACTCATGTAACAGTTCCGGAACCAAATATACTCAGAATTCAAACGTTTTAATAAAGAAGGAAAATGGGGGGAGCCCTTTCTCTGGACCCGAAATCAACACACCTTTTAGGGAACTTCTGTTAAAACAATATGGCAAGAAAATGACTGAAGCATTACAAAATCTACCAGAAATTCGTATTTTAGGACAAGGTTCTTTTGGTTGTGTAGTTTTTGGACTCTTTAAAGGTATGTAGTGTTCGCCTTTACTTTTAAGATTTATTTTTATTTTTGGGATTGGTGTTGAAGTTTTACATCATTTGGCTTTTAAAAATGTGTAGTCAATCAACTATTGGAGTTAACTTTATTAAATTTGACTCTTCATTTTTGATATAGTTGATTTCCAATTTTTCTCATACCTTGATCTGTAACAACCGGTTTTGAAAAGTATTTAAGAAATACAATTTTTTTTATTACGTCTGCTGAAATTTTTCTTCATTTGAAGTTTTTTATTTAATAATTTATGCCGTTTATAGAAGAGGATTATATAGTCTTTCGGCAACTAATGGTACCAAAATATATTTAAATCGTTTCACCTAGTAGTTAGATGTTTGTAATCAAGCAAATTTTAGATTTGTGAAACAAGAACTTAGAAGGAAATATAATTGTGATATTGGAATAATTCCCATAGCGTTGTTTAATGAAGTGAAGGTTACGACCATTTATGCTTGTACCGGTACGTTTAGATAGTCCTAAGTTGGATAGTTTGTGACATTGGTAGTTATGTCTTTGTAACTTGTATTGAATTATATTTCGAAACATTGTTTAAGACTCGTAACGTAGATAAATTGATATGTAGAATTATAAACGTAATTATAAATGTAATATACTTATAATATTAATAAGCTATATATATATATATATGTATTATTACGTCTCCGTTTGTTAATTAACTTTCCGTAACTTCGTTCCGACGAAACTTTAGCGAGACAAGTCCTTACTTAATAAAACTGGTTTATTCTTTCCGAATATAACTTTACGATACACTTAATTTCAACAATCGCGCTAAAACAAACGTTATAACAACGAACGTGCTCAATAATACTCTCTGACTGCAGATCAATTACTCACTGTCTACACACACATTCTCCTTTTCGTCACGTTGTCACCCTCTTTTATATACCAGAATACCCTATATCTAGTAAATGCTAGAGCATTTGCCAAGGTACAGGATAGTTCTAGAAAGCAGGTGGCGTGAGAATAGTCACGTGATCTCGCTGACGCAACAATATATATACCTATGAGAAATTAACTTTAGGTGAGACTTTGAATGGTATAAATAATGTGTAAATCTGCCTGAAAATTCTATCAATATCATATAATTTCTATTAAACAAAATAAGTTCACTCGTTCATAAGCACTGACACTCCCTAGAGTTTGTGGAAAAATTCATTGCGCGTATGTTAATTAAAGAGCTAGTGTTTGATCTGCGGCAAAATCTCGGAGATACATTTCTCTTGGGCCTGGCATGGCCAGGTGGTTAGGGCGCTCGACTCGTAATCTGTGGGCCGCGGGTTCGAATTCCCCTCCCACCAAACATGATCACCCTTTCAGCCGTGGGAACGTTATAATGTGACGGTCAATCCCACTATTCGTTGCTAAAAGAGTAGCGCAAGAGTTGGCGGTGGATGGTGATAACTAGCTACCTTCCCTCTAGTCTTTCACTGCTAAATTAGGGACGGCTAGCGCAGATAGCCCTCGTATAGCTTTGCGCGAAATTCAAAACAAACATTTCACTTAGAGCGTATGAGGATGTACTTGTTTGATGGTGAAGATCGTGGGTGGATAATAACTCATAATCAAACTGGAGACAGGATTTATCTAAAAAAAACACCTAGCACTACCCTGAGCAAACTGTAGACTGTATGAGGATGAACTTGTTTGATGTTGAAGATCGTGGGAGGATAATACCTCATAATCAAACTGGAGACAGGATTTATCTAAAAAAAACACCTAGCACTACCCTGAGCAAACTGTAGACTGTATGAGGATGTACTTGTTTGATGGTGAAGATCGTGGGAGGATAATAACTCGTAATCAAACTGGAGACAGGATTTAGCTAAAAAACACATAGCACTACCCTGAGCAAACTCTAGACTGAAGGAAGACAAAAAGTCGGAGTCACACTGGTAAAATGGAAGACTTGACGGTAGAGGGTGGTATTATGAAAGTATATGGCACAAGAAAGTTTGTGGAAACCGCAAATGCTATTTAAATTGAATTGGATTCAATAATATTGAATAATATAGATTATTAGAGGGAGAAGCAATGTTAGAATAATCTTGATTAAAAATATAATAATGGTAAAAAGTGCTAAAGAACAATTAATAGTAATAGGATATAAACTCAAATTCCAATCAGTTTTCCTGTTCCAGCTCTTCTAAAGACGATAATCCCCAAGTCTAAATAAATACGGTCAAAACACATAATTGTTGCTATGTTTTTGTATCTCCCTGAGATAAGATGTTTGTAAAGAAAAAAGAATGTATGAACAATTCGTACTTTCTAACACATTGGTTGTGACGTCATTGGTGATTTTGAAAATACTCGAGCCTTGTGAAAACCACGTACCAAAATATTTGATGCGCCACTCATTTTTAAAGTGCATTTCTGTATAATAAAAACGCCTTTACAATATTATATAAATTGAGATAATTAATTGACAATTATATTTAAATCACGCACTTGATATTTGATAAAAAGTGTCAAGAAATGGCTGAGAAAACGGGCTGTTGCGTATCTGCTTGTTTGAAACTTCAGTGATAAGTCCTTTTTTAATTCAACCAGTTTATTTTTTCTCTATACAACTATGTAATACACAGAATTTCAGATCAGTACGTTAAACTTAACTACTTTTATAACACAAGCTATAAATCACAGTGATTCACACACTTTACTTACGGTGCCTACTGTTCCCTTGACTCAATTATCTATATCTTCGATCCCGCTGGTTTTTATCGTCTGGCTTGTTTACTAAAAAGAGGGCGATTAGCAAACACTCGGACATTCGCAAGATTCCTCGATAATTCGAGAAACTCCAGCGCGCATGCTCCCAGCGTCACGCGACTTCGCTGTCGTAACAGGACCTCTAATTTGTAATGTTCTAAAACATGCAGTAACTAACTAACTATCCATAGTAGTTGTAGATATTTTATAGAATAATATCTGCATCTACTGGAAACATTTTTAACTTTAAGGTTGTCTGTAACTGCAAAATAAATTAAAAGTGTTGTTAGAGTAGTCTTGTTACATAATGTAGTAATCTTGATAACCCAGTGAGGGATATTTGGAGATGTTAAAGACAAGAAAATCAGTAGGATTAAAAAATTATCGTTCACTGAACAGACCAAGAATGAAAATAAAAATATCAGGAACACAGTTGGAAGCATCAAGCTGCTGAAAATATCAGATTAAGTTTTTTATTCAAGATTTTTATGGAAAGTTTGATGTAATTCAACCTCATCTAATCTAATATAGAAAACTAATTTTCAGAAAGTGCTATGAACAGGCTACTTGCACGTGATTATACTAATCTCGAGAAAAGTAATTTCAAACCTCTTCTGTCGATTATATGCCCCAAATAAAATGACTAATTGTATTAGGCCATTTTATTTTATTGATCTCGTATCTGATTATGAACATAATTTATACATCTGTATGGAACTAACAAATACTTAAAGAAAAACCGTTGACGAGTATGAACATATAGTAAAGATTGGAAATTACTTATTTGTAAATTATTTAAATATGACATAATTGTAATAATAGTATCAGAGGGAACATCAGTGTTACAAAATATTAATTACATAAGGTCACTGTCGTGAAGACATTAATAACAGTGTTATGTATCTGCTTGTTTGTTAATTTCAGGTATAAATTCTTTCCGAGAAACTTCAGCGATACAAGTCCTTTCTTGATTAAAAATAGTTTATTCTTTCTCGATACAAACTTTATAATACACAGAATTTCCACAGTCACTTTAAACTTAACCTTTATAACACACGCTATAAATCACAGTGATTCACACACTTTACTTACGGTGCCTACTGTTCGCTTGACTCAGTTATCTATCTCTTCAATGTATCTGCATATTTATCTGTCGCTGGTTTTATTTGTTTGGCTTATATACTAAAAAAAGAGGATGTCTGGCAAACGTTCGGACATTCGCGGAGTTTTTCGATAATTCATGATCTAAACTAGTCTTAATCAAGAAAGGACTTGTATTGCTGAAGTTTCTCGGAAATAATTTATACCGAAAATTAACAAACGAGCAGATAAGTAACAGCAGATAGAGCATTTAATAAACTTAACAAAGGTTTAATGTTAGTTAAAAATACTACGTTAAGATCTGTTTATGAAAAACAAAAGAGAAACTTTACTTTATGTTTCAGGTTTAATAGATCAATTATTTAAAGCTTTTAAGAAGCAACAAAACGTTTATCCTATCTTTAAACCTATACATAAGATTAAAGAAATGTCAAGGAATGCTAAGGATAAAATAATTAGAAGATAAAACTGGGATTTACAAAATATAATTTGAATGTGGTAGTACGTATATTGGTCAAACTAAAGAATTTTAAATACAATTGTAACGAATTTGCTATTATATATTTATTTTAATATCAACGTTTGTTTAGATTAAGTTTATATTTAAAAACATGCATAGCTTATAGTATTAGATATTGTTGCGTCAGCGAGGTCACGTGACTAGTATCACGCCACCTGTTTCTAGAAATATCCTGTTCCTTCAAGAATGCCCTAGCAATTACTAGCTATGTGTTAGTCTTGTATATATATATAAGACGTTCGCAACGTGACGGAACAACAGTGTAATGAGTAATTGAACTGCAGTCAGAGAGAATGTTGTTAAGCACGTGAGAAGTTCATTGAGAATTATAGCGCGACTGTTGAAATTAAGTGTATTGCAAAGTTATGTTCAGAAAGAATAAACCAGTTTTATTTAAGAAAGGACTTGTGTCGCTAAAGTTTCGTCAAAACGAAGTTACGGAAAATGAACTAACGACTGGAGGCATAACAATATGTATTCCGAAACTCCCGCTTATTCTCCAAAGTTTTAGAAGATTCTCGAGAGTAAGAATCAACAATATATGTATGTATGTATGTATGTAAACGCTTAAACGTAGCTCAGTATTGTTATGTAAAACTGAATTTTAGATAAAGCCTCCACA